CAACTGACCGATACTGTCACACAGCTCCGCTGCTCTCTGACCATCAACAGAGCGATGTCTGTGTGTGTTTGCAGTGGTTGAGGCAGATTACGGGAGGTTTAAGTGTTTGTTCTGGTGACCCGTTCCACATCCAAATATACAGCAATTGAGCACATAGAGGAACCCATTCAAGAGCCGTGCGGATTAAGCCAAACACTCCCCAGGGAACTGCCCCGGTTGGTCCCCATCGCCCCCACCGTCACACTCCCCTTTCACTATGTGTGTGTTTCATTGCCAAACACCATCTGTGCACTTCTTAAAAGGGCAACCAACGTTGTTGCGGGTGAGGGGGGGGGGTGTGGGCGGGTGAGGATGTGAGACTCAGAGCTCGGTGGGACCCGCTGCCCAATGCTAATTGTCAAGTGTAGTGACTGCACGTTCGCCTCTGCCCTCCCTCCCCCCCACACCACCCCCATCGCCTCCTTCAAGTTCCGTCTCAAAACCTTTCTTTTACCCTTCCTGTTCGGTCATCTTTCATCCGCAGAATACACAGTCACTACACTCTACAGTATATTCCGTGAAGTGCTTTCGGCCGTTTCGAAGATGTGATAAGTTGCTTTATCAAAAGGATTATTATTGTTATAATTATCATAGAATCATAGAATCATACAACAACAACAACAAGATTTCATTTATAGAGCGCCTTTCATGTCGGGGGACATCCCAAGGCGCTGGACAGTTGGGTCAGGACCCGAGCAGTGGGGGGAAATGGTCAGGGTGAGGGGAGGGAAGGGAGGGAGCGAGGAGGGGGGGAGATGGTCAGGGTTAGGGGAGGGAAGAGAGGGAGCGAGGAGGGGGTAGAGAGTCGAGAGGGGAGCTGAAGGTACGGTCGAAGAGAAAGGTCTTGAGACCGGCCTTGAAGGAGGAAAGGGAGGAAGCGGCGAAGGAGTTCCAGAGCCTCGGGGCTGAGAGGCTGAAGGCACAAAAAGAGTCCATTTGGCCCATTGAGTCTGTGGGGTTCTCTGAAAAGAGCAATTAATATCAGTCCCACTCCCCGGCCCTTTCCCCATAACCTGCAAACCCGTCTTCCTCAAATACCCGTCCACCGCGTTTTTAAAAGTAGTTATGGAATCAGCCTCGACCGCCCTTTCAGGCGATGGGTTCCAGATTCGAACAACTCACTGAGTGAAGCAATGTCTTCTCACCGCCCCTCGACTTCTTTTAGAGACTATTTGGAATCTGTGACCTCGAGTCACCGACACACCCACCAGTGGGAACAGTTTTTCCATTTCTAACCCATTAAATCCCCTCATGATTTTGAAGACCTCTATCAGGTCCGCGTCACCTTCTCTGCTCCAATGAAAATAATCCCGGCCTCTCCGGCCTTTCCTCATCATCACGGTCCCTCATTCCTGGTACCATCCTCATAAATCTCCTCTGTACCCTTTCCAATGCCTTAACATCCTTCCTATAGTGTGGGGCCCAGAACTGGGGCAGTATTCTAACTGAGGCCCCTTAGCCCCCAACCCTCCAAATCCAACCCCCAACCTTGGGTTAACCCCTCGATTCCCAGTACCTTGGGACGCGCTCCCAATGTGAAAGGCACTATATAAATGCAATTGCTGTGGCTGTGGTTGTTGGTAAACAAGCACTTTTGACTTGGATCTCGAAATGCAAGTGCGCGGGTAAAACGTGGGCGGGTGTCTCCCGGGTTAGGAAAGGGGTTAAGTCAACGTGCTGCTGAATTTCTCTCTCTCTCTCTCTCTCTCTCTCTCTGTGTGCAGGGAAACTCCCGTGTTTGTGAATAATAATTCACAATAATTGGCTTATTAAACAACAGACGTTTCGCCCACTAAACACACAGTCACTACATTTTGTGGTGTGTCCTGAGATGCACTTTGAGAAGTCTCAAAGAGGTGGTGAGGCGCTGGATCAAATGCCAGGATTATTAATTATTATTAATTCTGTGCCAAGAATGGGCGGGTGGGGGTGGAAGAGGTTAAAGTCAAAGTTTAAAGCTCAGCAAGTCTGACAAATACTGACTCCTCTCCCCCCTCCCTCCCACAACCCCAACCCCTAACCCCACATAACCCCAAACCCAACCCCCTTCCCCTATCACAGACAGCCGACATGTACCAGCCCCTGTTGCTGGCGGAAGAGGGAAAATAGCTGCATTAAAACTAAGAGGAAACATGCGTCCCTTCAGGTCTTTTTGGGGGACACACAGACCCAATTGTTAACAACCGAAGATTTATGTTGCGTAAAGAAGCTCAGGGAACCATAAAACAATCTGTGTAGGTTACAGCAACCAGGTTCAGGTTTGGTTCTGGCTCAGCTGCACGTCTGACAAGGGATATTTATAGCCCTGGCACTGTGTGTGCGTGTGTGTGCTTGAGAGTGTGTGTGCGTGTGTGTGCTTGAGTGTGTGTGTGCGTGTGTGTGCTTGAGAGTGTGTGTGCGTGTGTGTGCTTGAGAATGTGTGTGCGTGTGTGTGCTTGAGTGTGTGTGTGCGTGTGTGTGCTTGAGAGTGTGTGTGCGTGTGTGTGAGCGCGTTCTGGGATGCTAAGGGGGCAAGGCAGAGGGATGGAGGGAGAGAGTCTCTGTTTGCCTACAAAAACACATAGTCACTACACTATACCAACAACAACATTTACTCGGCGCTTTTCACGTTGGGAGGACATTGCAAGGTGCTGGACGGTCAGGAATTTGGACCTGAGCTGGGGGTTGGGATCAGGAGGGTAGGGGGTAGGAGGGTGACCGAAGGCATGGTCGAAGAGAAGGGTCTTGAGAGGTGCTTTGAAGGAGACTACGCTCTAAAGTCAATCCTGCGAAGCGCTTTTAAGATGTTCCTGCATCGTGAAAAGGTGCCATCGATCAAATTCAGAGAATTATTCTTTGTTTTCGGTCTTTTTCCCTCCCCACCCCCACCACCTCCTCCCCACCAGTCCGATATCTCCAGACGGTTTGTTGGAACAGTGATCTGGAATAAATGCAAGAGGGCTGAAGTCTTTTTTTTTCCAGAGATGTTAATTGTAGCGGAGGAGGGCCAGCTCCAAAACTGGGCCAATTGGGTCTTTTGGCACGGCTTGAATCACTTTGGGGAAGAGATTGGCTGCAGAATGTGCAAGAGTGAGCGAACTTGATCGTGGATCAAAATCCAAGCTCCAAGGAAACTGTCGTGTTTCCAGCGACAGAGAGAGAGAGAGAGAGAGAGAGATGCCGTGTCTGTTGTATATTGGCGAGGACCCTCTCTTTCTCTCTCTCTTTCTCTCTCTCCAAATGTCAGGCTGATATAAAATGGGAATCTTTGTTTGCAATCGCCTTTGGCTGTAGGGAATAAGTAAGTGGTGGAGGGCAGAATGAGGAGCACACTCTGACCCCCCCTTTACCTTTCATATCGGGAGGATGTTTCCAAGAGGATGTCTCAATTCACGGCTGTCTGTGGGACGCTGCTGTATGCAATTGGCTGCCAAAAATACACAGTCACTTTACAGTATATTCTGTGAAGGGACCGACTGGATTTGAGTGCGTTAGTCGATTTAGTTTTTTTTTGATCAGCCGGGTGTCTGACATGTGCGGAAAGAGTCTCCAAATCCGAGCTGAGAATTCCACGCTTAGTTAGACTCTGCACATAATTTCCATGAAATCCCAGAGATAGATTGTTGGAATGTAATGCGCTCTCTCTCTCTCTCTCTCCCTGGAGGGACACATCCTGTTTACCTAATTCCAGAGAGTATTAGGCGCAGGTTGCCGAGAGCCAAGGCTCTGTGGGGGAGCCCAGAGTGAGCGTTGGGGTAACTGCTGGAATCTAACCAGCTAAACCCACACAGCTTGCTATTGATATCACCGTGTGTGTGGAAGTCACAGAGAGTTTGGAGCACAGTTTTAGGGCATTCTACCCATCATGTCTGTGCCTCCAGCTGGTGCAGAAGAGGCCCGGCCAATTTGGCTTGACTTAATTGTGACTTATTAAACTGGAGCCTGATACTATCTAGATTTTGGTCAATAAACAGTAGAACTGGCCAATCTGGATACACATCAGCTCCAATTTATAAACACTGGACTTTGTTAAATCCAGATTTACGATATCTGGACTTGATGAAATGCAGATTGACTTTGACCCGCACTTGATTAAATCAAGATTAAAAGCCAAAAAAAAATACATGTATAACGGGAATGATTTCAGACCAACTTTAATCCATCTGGATTGGCTTAGATCCGGGTTGATGGGAGTATGAGCTGGAATAATCCAGGAATTAATTCAGTCCTGATTTTGTTAAAAGAGTTATTTTTAGGGGCGACTTGTAATTCATATTTTTCTTGGCGTGTCGCGCCAGCAATCTGATTCTAGGGGCAGTGCTGCCGTTAAGGTAGTGTTCCGTGCAATCTCCCAGCATTGGACGAGCTAATGGGGGGGGGGGGGTAGAGGGTTCCTGTCGCAATAACAAATGCAATGTTTTGAGGTTTCAAGACCACTGCAGTTGTAACACACTATCCCGCCCGCCCGCCCACCAACAGACTCCGCACATAATTCAGCTGGAAAAGGAGTTGAGAAGGAAAAGATTTTTGCTTCCTTTTTTTGCTCCTGTCTCTCTCTCTCTCTCTCTCTCTCTCTATCAACATGTGCATTTGTTGATCTGAGTTTGGGACGCTGCTGTGTGCAATTGTTTGCTGCGTTTTGCCCACAAAATACAGTCACTACACTTTACTGTGTATCCTGTGAAGCGCTTTGAGATGCCTCGAAGACTTGTTGAGGCGCTGTGTCAAACGCAAGGATTATTATTTATTTATATTTTGACTAACTGGTTAATCAGCGTGTGTGTGTGTGTGTGGATCTGTGTGTGTGTGTGTGGTGGGGGGGGGGGTTGTAAGGAAACATGCCCAATATTTTGCCCTGACGTGAACCCAGGTCCTCTCGCTTGCGAGGCGAGGGCTCTATCCTCTGAGCTACAGTGAGCTTTAGCTAAATCCCTGGGATCTGTCAATTTGTCCTAAACCTTCTACTCTCTCTCTCTCTCCAGAGACCTGAAGAATAACTTGATCAGCACCATCATGCCCGGCGCGTTTCACGGACTCACAGAAATGAAGCGTCTGTAAGTTCCCGAGTTCTACCGCGCACGCAATCCGGCTGGTCCCATACTCTGCCACCCCCATCCTCACCCGCGCTAAACTCCGTCCCCCCATCAGCCCAGCCCTCGCCAGGCGCTGGCACCTCCCTACCCTCTCCCACCTGCTTACCCCCCACTCCCCACTTCATTACCCGCTGCCTCCGCTCGACTGGCTCTGGCCTGCTGCTTGGCCCCCGTGCCCTCCGTTCCACTACTCCCTGAAACCCTGGAACTCTCTCCCCCAATCACTCCGCCTCCCTCCCTCCCCCCCTCCCTCCCCCCCCCCCCCAGCTCAGGGGTCAGACTCTGCCACTGTCATGCGCTCTGGGGCGCTATATAAATGCAAGTTGTTGTCGTTGTACCTTGTGTTGTGACCCAGCCTGTGGGGGTGGGGGCGGGGAAGCAACTGGTGGGGTTTAAACCCACTTTGTTCCATTTACGGAGGAATGTGTTTCAATCGCAGGGATCTGTCTAACAACAGAATCGGATGCCTGATTCCTGCGATATTTCACAGCCTGGGAGAACTGAATAGACTGTACGTAACCCCGGCTGCTCATCTCTACCCTTTGAGCCTCTTATTCTTTGCCCTTTATTCCTTGCGGGTGAAAAAATAGCCAATGCGCCAATCACCGGAATTGGGGGAAAACAGATTTTACGCACAGGGTCGTCGTGAAAGAGGGTGTTTTTTGGGGATCGCTGAGCCCTTCGTTATACAGTAAAATCCTGTCAGTTGCTTTGTGGAGGGCAGGGAGGGTGGGGGTGGGGGTGGGGGGCGCGGTAGGAGGGTGTCCAAACGCTCGGTCGAAGAGGAGGGTCTTTAGATGCGCCTTGAAGGGGGCAAAGGAGGGAGCGAGGCGAAGGGAATGTGGGATGGAGTTCCGTAGAAACAGGAGTTGGCTATTCAGCCTCTCGAGCCTGTTGCGCCATTTTATGATCATAGCTGATCTGGACCTCAGGTCCACTCAAAGCCCAGTTTGAAAAGGAAAATACAGGGGGTGGATGGAAGGGAGTGGGGGGCAGAGGAGGGGGAGCAAAAGGGCAAGGTGGGGGGGGCTGAATGCAAAGCTGGGACACACTCTCGTAGGAATTGTTATCGAACGAACAGCAAATGGACTGTTAAACGTTTCGTGCATTTATTTGTTTTTTAATAAACTCCAGCCTCTTCCCTGAGAATTAATGCCGATCAAATGTCTCCATGTTTGACAGGAACCTGTCAGGAAACATCTTCTCAAACCTTCACCCCAACCTCTTCGACCCTTTGGTTTCACTCAAACTCGTGTGAGTATCCACAATGAACGTCTCTCTCTCTCTCTCTCTCTCTGTTTGCAGGACGCTGCCCTGGGCAATTCTCTGCTGCGTTTCGCCCATGAAACACGCGACCACTCCACTTACAGCGTATATGGGGAAGACGTGTAAAAGACGTGATAAGGCGCTGTATCAAATGCGAGGATTATTATTAGATTACTAGTATGTTTGCGTGGCTATGGGGAGAGAGTGAGTTGATTTGGAAGCTCTTTTAAAAGAGCCTGCGCAGACACGAAGGGCCGAATGGCCTCTTTCTGTGCTGTATAATTCTATGATTCTGTGGTTATAGGTGTGGGGCTTGAAGCCCAGGCTTTGGGATATCCTCCAGGTATGAAAGGCGCGATCAAAATATAATTTATTGCTGTTGTTTCTTGATCTGCTTCCACACTGGCAGTGATTTCAACACCGAGTCCCTGATGTGTGACTGCAACATGCAGTGGGTCCTGAACTGGGAAAGGAACAGCTCAGCGAGGATATCGGAGGCCACAGTGTGTGCTTATCCAAGGGCTTTGCAAGGCCAACAGTTTAAGTCTCTGAAGGAAAGCCAACTGGGATGTGGTGAGTGATCTGGGATTAAGGCAAGGTGGGGAGAGGTGTGGGAGCGGCTCACAGTGTGCGCTGGCAGAGGCAAAAAGAATGGGATTAATGGGAACATCGAGGCTTCTGTCTTCCTAGGGATTTGTGTTCTCCCCGTCTCCCCTGAAGTCTTCACTGATGTTATCGTAAAAATGGGAATGAGGAACGGGGCTATGGGTTTCGCCCACAAAATATACAGTCACTACACTTGACGGTATATCCTGTGAAGCGTTTTGAGACGTCTCGAAGATGTGATGAGGCGCTGTATCAAATGCGAGGATTATTATTAATAAACGGATACGATGGGGGGGGGGAATGGGGGGAGGAGGGGAGAGCAGGGGGAAATGGGGTGCTAGAGAGCTCCAGTGGGGAGAGGGAGCGAGCACCAGCATGGAGAGGATTGATGGAATATTCCCGAGCTGAAGTGGTGCTGCTCTGATTCTGTCTGAACGCGTGGTAATAATTATAATACACGTGAGGCGGGCGGGCGGGCGGAGGAGAGAGCGCGACGTCTCATTGTGGCTGGAACTCACTGAGCCTCTATTTGGCCGCAGACGGACCTTTGGAGCTGCCGACTCTCCAGCTCATCCCGTCCCTCCGGCAAGTGGTTTTCCAGGGGGATCGACTGCCGTTCCAGTGCACGGCCACCTACATCGACAACACCACCCAGGTGCTGTGGTATCACAACAGCGCTCCGGTCAGGCCGGAAGCAGAGAGCGGTCTGACCGTGGAGGACAGCATGATCCACGACTGCTCCTTCATATCCAGGTAACCATGGCTGTCTGGCTCACCTCCTCTCACACGGACAAGGAGTTTTCGGGTGCGTACATGGGCCTTCCTTCCCCATCTTTAACCAGTGCCTATGGTCACCTCTCCACCCACCCCCCCCCGCCCCGGCTCAGCGTTGCTCTTCCACTGTCAGGTGCCCTGCGTGAGGGGCGCACGCAGTTGTTGTTGAATTCCATTCCCTGGTACGGGAGCGGAACGGGGCCGGGGGGGGGGCGGGGAGGGGTGGGGGGCTCGTGGCCGTGGGTTTGGCTGACCGGCTGCTGTGACCGAGACCGTGTCTTGCAGTGAGCTGATCCTATCCAACATCTACCTGCTGGCTAGCGGAGAGTGGGAGTGCGTCATCTCAACCTCCCGAGGAAACTCCTCCCGCAAGGTGGAGATCGTGGTGTTGGAAACCTCGGCCTCGTACTGCCCGGCCGAACACGTCACCAACAACAGGGGGGAGTTCAGGTGAGTGACCGGCTCTGTGGGAGTCCCTGTAGCTCGGGGGTCAGACCCCTCGACTCGCAATGAGAGGACCTGGGTTTGATTCCTGGGCGGGGCGAAACGTTGGGTAAGTTTCCTTGCTTACTCCACGCACGCACACGTGTGCCTCTCTTTACCCGGTTGGAACCGGTTGTTAGTCGATTGACGGACCGCTTTTCCTGATCGCACAACGCCAAACTGGGGGGGGGGGGGGGGGAGAGGGAGTGCGGAAGGTACCATAGGCACGGACAAAGAAGAAGGTCTTTAGTTGCAACCTGAAAGATGGGGAAGAAAGGGGTTAAATCTGGAGCAGACAGAGAGGAGAGGGGAGAGAAGTGGGGGGGGCGGGCGGGGGGGGGGGGTAGGGGGAATGGGAACTGAGGGGAAAAGTAAAGAGGAAAGGGAGTATACAGAAGGGTTCTGTGCACAGGTGATGTCCTCATATGGTAGCCATTACATAGCCAGGTGCCATGAAGGCGCTTTTCAAGCCTGTGTGTGAGCCAGGAGCAATAGGTGTTGGAATGTGTCTGGCAGGGGAAGAAAGCAGCGAGTCCTCACTGCAACACAGGCCGCTACTCACTGCCACTAACATGTGCTTTGAATTAACTCTGAGGCCCCGTCTGAAGGCAGGATATGGTAGACGAACAGAGGGGGGGGGGGGGGGGAGGAAATATATATATATATCTGGGGGTAAATCAAAGCCACCTCAACGCAAGCGAACAGGCACGCACGCACGCCACAGAGCTAGAATGTGTCAGATTGTTCCCAATAAAAGTTTACTCATCAGCAGTTTTAGTGACCGAGAAAATGTGTGGGCGGGTGAGGGGATTGTGAATGGTTTTGAGTAACTCTGAATCTCACGAGATGACTAGACCGACTGATTCCTTCTGTGGGATTGTCCCCTTACCCTCTCCTCTCAGCTCACCCCCTTCTTCTACCTCCTTACCCCCCTCCCCCACACTCCTCCCCCCCCCCCCCCCCCCCCACTCACGCACACACACATAAGTTTGGGGTATGTTCCAAGAAAGTAGCACGAAGGCTTGTACAGTCGATTGAGTGACTGGAGGGCTATGTGCACAGGCACTGTGTCTCATTGGTATATGGAGACCCTGTAGCTCAGTGGTTAGAGCCCTCGCCTCGCAAGCGAGAGGACCTGGGCTTGATTCCCGGGCGGGTCAGAGTGAAACATTGGCCAAGTTTCCCCCCCCCCACACGCACACACACACTTTTGTTTTCCAGCAGTCAGCAGGAACCCGGCTGTTAGTTGATCCCGGGGTTAATAATCCCTTCAAAAAGATCAAATAAAAATAATAATTTGGTCCCTCAATCCACGACTTTTGTGGGGACGCTGCTGTGCGCAATTGGCTGCTGCATTTCGCCCACAAAGTATACAGTCACTACACTTTACAATGTGTCCCGTGAAGCGCTTTGAGACGTTTCGAAGACACAATGAGGCACTGCATCAAATGCGAGGATTATAATTACTATATTATTACCCACAGCAGGTTACCAGGAAGGGGAGGGTGGGTTGGAGACCAGGAGGGTGGGACCTGTTTCAGAAACAGCTTGTGACATGCTCAGGATTGGGAGGTCGAACGCTCTGGAAAGATTAGATCAAATTGGGCAAAAGGGTCTTCTTTGTACCAACAAACCTTGTGATCTCTCCCCAGCCTTTTGGTCTTTGACAGAGCAGCTGTTGGGGGAGCAAAGTCTGTGAGTGTGTTTGTGTGTGAGATGAGCTCCCTCTAGAGGGTAGCCCCAAGCACTCAACCCAATAACAAGAGAGTTCCTCTCCTCTGTGATCCAGAGGCCCTTGGATCTCTCTCTCTCTCATATATATATCAATTGTAAATAAGGATTATTAAGGCTAAGTCCTGTAGACGAGACCTGCAGCTCAGTGGTTAGAGCCCTCGCCTCGCAAGCAAGAGATCTTGGTTCGATTCCCAAACGGGCAGGGTGAAATGTTGGGCAAGTTTCCTTACCCAACACACACACACACACACACGCCTCTGTTTACCAGCAGTCAGTAGGAACCTGGTTGTTAGTGGATCACTTTTCCGGGGGTAATAATCCCTTCAAAAAAAAAAAAATTGGTCACTTTGATCCACGGCTGTTTGTGGGGACGCTGCTGTGCGCAATTGGCTGCCGCGTTTCACCCACAAAATATACGGTCACTCCACTTTACAGTGTATCCTGCAAAGTGCTTTGAGACGTCTCGGAGGTGGGATAAGGCGCTGTATCTAACGCCAGGATTATTATTATATATTATTTGTGATTATTATGATGTTTAATGTTTGCTGGCGGTTTCGCCTCAGGTGGCCGAGGACTCTATCGGGTATCGTCTCGTATCAGCTGTGTTTGCAGTATCCCTCCTTCTCGGTCATCAGACCCTCACTGGAGAAAAAGGCCTCTCGCAGATGTGGTCGGTCAGGGCAGTGGGAAACGGGAGACTACAGCGAGTGTCTGTACATCAATGACTACACAAGGACCCTCCACATCTTCACCCGGGTGAGTCACAGGCGTTTAGCCTGACAAGGAACAATAATGATATTAATAATGATAATCATCATCATCTTAGGGTTTTACGCAGCAGCTTTCACGTTGGGAAAGACAGCCCAAGGCGTGTACTGATCCTGGTTTAGCGCCCGAGCTGGAGAAATGTATTCTAATAATAAATAATAATATTCCTTGTATTTGATACAGCTTGCCTCCTTCAGCACCCGTCTCAAGACCCTCCTACCCCCACCCTCCCCCCATCCTGATCCCAACCCACAGCTCAGGTACAAATCCCTGAAAGTCCAGTGCCTTGGGACGTCGTCCTGATGTGAATGGTGCTGTGTTGGCTGCTGCGCTTTGCCCACAAAGAGCAGTGGGTTGCGGGTGACTTTATAATAATAATTGTTGCCTTTGATACAGCGCCTTATTACATCTTCGAGACGCCTCAAAGCTCTTCACAGGATACACTGTAAAGTGTAGTGACTGTGTGTTTTGCAGAGTGAAAATGGGAGGCGGAGAGGGGTGTTGGGAGAGGGAGACAAAGATACAACGAATACAGAGATTAAGTTAAAATATTATTATATACTTTACATCTTTGATCTGATCAGTGAAGCTGATGAATTTCTCAATCATTTTGGCCACGTAGATGACATCGATCATGTCCAGGAAATGTGAGGCTTCGGCTGTGTAGGTGAGCAGTTGGTGAGCCAGCGTCAAGACATTGGTGCTGTTGATGAACATCTGAAAGCAGAACCACGGCAACGCTCCATTTATAATAATAATTATAATAATAATGGCATTTGATACAGCGCCTTATCACGTCTTTGAAACGTCTCAAAGATCTTCACAGATTATGCTGTAAAGCGAATTGACTATATTTTCGTGAGCGAAACGTGGCAGCCAATTGCGCACAGCAGCGTCCCACAAACAGTCGTGGATTGAGTGGCTAATTTTTTTTTAAGGGATTATTACTCCCGGAAAAGCAATCTGCCAATCGACTTAACAACCAGTTTCCTACATACCGCTGGGTGAACGAAGGCGTGTGCGTGTGTGTGGAGTAAGAAAACTTGCCCGCCCTGGAATAGAACCCAGGTCCTCATGCTTGCGTGGCGAGGGCTCTAACCACTGAGCTACAGGACTGAAGTATTTATAACATGTTTCTCCAGCTCGGGTGCTAAACCAGGTCGGATTCCAACATGAAAGATGCTGCAGAAATCCCTGTGATTAGTGTGGAAGTCTGAAGCTTAGTGGTGAGAGCACTCGCCTCGCAATCAAGAGAAACAGAGTTTGTGAAACATTAGTCAAGTTTCCTTACTCCACACATCCCTCTATTTACCTCGCAGTAAGTAGGAGCCCAGTTGTTAGTCGATTGGTGGATCAAGTTGGCTTGTTCAGGGGTAACTAAACCTTTCAAAAAAATAATAATAAATTGGTTGCTTCAATCCACGGCTGTTTGTGGGGACACTGCTGTGCACAATTGGCTGCTGCGTTTCGCCCACAAAATATAACTTTACAGTCTATTCCGTGAAGTGCTTTGAGATGTCCTGAAGACACGATAAGGC